AAAAAAGACACAAAGCTAAGTCAGAGACACAAAATTACCTCAAAGTCACACAAAACAACCACAAAGACACAAAAAAAGATGACAAAGAGATGCAAAGGATCTGCAGAGAGACACAAAATAACAACGAAAACAGGCAAAACAACCACAAAGAGACACAAAGAGATTAATAGGGACTGCAAAGAGACACAACAAATATACAAAAATGGGCAATACAACCACAATGAGACACAAAATGACTACAAAGACACACAGAACAACCACAAGGAGACACAAAATGACTACAATGCAACACAAAATGGCCAAAAAAAAAACACAAAATTGCACCAAAGAGACACAAAACAACCACAAGGAGAAACAAAATGGCTGCAAAATGAAACCAAACAACCAAGAGACACATAATTACATCAAAGAAACACGAACTAGACAGAATGAGACACAAAACAACCACAAAATTACCTCAAAGAGACAGAAAATGACCACAAAGAGATACACAGCCACAAAAAGATGCATAACGACTGCAAAGAGACACAAATCCACCACAAAGTCTATGTGTCTTGCTCCTCTGTAGGAGCGCTGATGGGGCCTTTTGCATATCTGAACCCAGGGGCCCACTGCCTCATAATCCACCCATGCTCCAGAATAGTGAGAGTGCACACCAGGGTCAGCTCCAGCAGCATCCCTGATCCAGTGTGAAATGGTTGGGACACATCAGCAGGGCTCATATTCACTAACAGGGGTCAGTCATGTTAATATAAGTGTTATAAAAGTGTTATGTTTGCGGTTGTATATTACGAGAAGCATTACAAAACTTAAAAAGAGTGACTCCAAAATATTACTGGTCATTGTATAGTTCTTATGACTTCTTGAAATTTTGTATAACCTACAAAATGAAGCTAAATTAATATCCACAAATAAACTGATGGATTTATTCTAAATTTCCACGCACCACCACTGACACAAACTTAAAATTAGATAAACTTTTAATGTCAAAGTGTAAATTCTGAAGCTGTTCTAGAGGGTTTTTTAAATCATATTGAGCCATTTTTATCAGCAAATAAAGTTTGCTCAGTTGTCATGTAATTGTAGAGGATCATATTGCCATAATTTTCCACTTTTTTGAGCATTATAATGACTTCTCTCTGATGTTGGCTTCTATTTCAGTTTGGTTGTTTATTGGCTATTTATATCTGGCTGCCAGTTGTGACTGGAGTCAGATTTGTCCTGGTACAAACCTGTTATTAACCTCAAAGTCCATTTTCACTTTCACACAGTTACTTTTGTGCTTATTACCTACAATGGTCATTTATCCAAAGCAATTTGGTGATTTGCAACATTCACAAAACAGTTGCTCCCAGCACACTCACACCATAATCCAATGCATTTCAGTTTCACACACAATCATGACAATATAACATCTGGGTTGCACATTTTAATTGCTTTTCAGTCTACAGTTACTCCTGTACTACATCTATCTAAATGTAGGCTAAGTACACAGACACATAACCACCACAAAAATATCATCTGGCAACACATGAACATAAACTTTAAAACAGAGAGCTTGTGCAAATTAAAAGAAGCACAGTTTGCCGCCAAGCCGAGTGCTGCAGAATGGTCCTCCGGTTTCTCGTCTTCATATCTTGTGGAAATAGCAGGTGCTGCAGTGGCAGTCTGTGTGGTTTCTCACCCTTATGCCAGCCACCTCTGTCTGAAGGAGGCACAGGTGAGGAGGAAGACACATGAGTGGTTACTGACAGAGTCACATCAGTCTGCAGCAGCACATGCTGTATGGTCAAATGCTGTTTTTAGAAGTGTGAGCAAAGGTGAGTAAAGGTATATGAGTATCTTCAGCTAAATGTTCATCGTAATAACAAACAGGAATCTGTCCAGTATGGCCAGTATGAACAGGAGTGAGGATTGCAGAAAGCAAAACCTGTTTCAGTGATCATTTGGGCACCTGGATATTGTTTTTAAGACAGATTTGGGCAGTTGTGACTTTTTTAACGTATCAAAACTAAAATTACTCATCCTGCAGAACACTGGCCCCTGTGACTGACCAGATGATTCCCAATCTAGAGCCCCTCCAAGAGGCATCTGTGAGATGATCGATGCAGAGAAGAAAAACCAAAGTTCTCTCACACAAATCTGTATCTTTGCTTTTTGTTAAATATTGGGTAATTTCACCTCTTTGGACCTTGAACAGTCACTTGAATGAAACCATCTGAGAAGTTCAAGGGGAATTTTGGTGGAACTGCAAACAACTAATGGATATTTGAAACATATCAAGGACCTCCAAGTAGACACTGATTTTCTGTAACCAAAAAAGGGTGGGGAACCACTGTTTAATTTTTAACAGTGCATTGTAAGCATGTCTGTTATGTTGCACAATATTTTCCTCAGAACTGCAGTGAAGTCGAAGTATAAAGTAGCATAACATTGAATTATTTAAAGGTCCAGTGTGTAGGATTTAGGCGCATCTACTGACAGAAATGCATTGTAATATTCCTAACTATATTTTCATTAGTTTATAATTACCTGAAACGAAGAATCACTGTGTTTTGGTACCTTAGAATAAGCCATTTATAACTACATATGGATATGGAACACTGCTCTAGATAGGGTCATAGGGTCATAAGGTCATAGACAGGGTCAGCCACCATAGCTCTCATACACATTTGGCACATGGGAGAGGTTTCAGTTCTACAACCTCACCGCAAGATGCTACTAAATCCTGCACACTCGACTTATTAAAACAATTTTTGTGGCTCTCACATGTTGGTTACAACAGCATAGTAGAATGATAAAATAACTGAAAAAAATAAGAGCTGACTGGACAAAAACTACTTGGGTAAATACACATTTTTACAGCCTGAAGGACTAGTGTATCTATTGATTATCCAGGCCAGTGTCGTCTTTTTGAGTCTTGCATAGAGTCCATTTCTCCCATTTTCTTTCTAGTTGTGCTTCTTGTAGTCTCAGTATGTGTGTCAATATCTCCACTGAAAAAAAAATCTTCCACAATTGTTAGCCATTGGTACTTCATTGGTGCTGTTTCTCTACCCCAGTTCCTAGTGATACTTGCTACTAGCAATATGTTTCCTCAGAGAAAATACTATGTAGTGTACTAAGTATGGTTTCTTACATAGATAAAGCACCAAACAACTGTTAGGAACCTCATATCATAGTATGTGCTAAAGTTCTTTACATACCATTTCCCAAAATACAGCTATTCGATCTTTATGTTAAGTATAAGGGCCTAAAAATTGTACTTAAGTAAATGAACTTAGTTTATTTACACTACTGCTGACCTAACCAGCGCTGGACCAGCCCTGGGCAAGCTCTATTCCCTCCCACACACACACACACACACACACACACACACACAAATAAATATCATTATTATTATCAGTAGTAGTAGTTGTAGACATGTCGTTGTTTTCCTGTACCTCATAGCTGTGTTTTGCGACACAGCACGTGGCCTCCGAGGTGATGTTCTTCGGGATCGTCATTGTCTTCATGGCCTTGAGAGGCGTTGGATATGCTCTGGAGAAGCAGCAGCCCATACACTGGTAGACCGGACGATCCCTTGAGAAAACACTGTTCTTCCTCAGTGTGCACTCCTCGCAGCCGACTGGAGGAAAGACGATACTATTGATCATGGAGAGCTTGTGATACAGTGCCAGGGACATTTGAGATCTTGAGATTGAGATTAAAAGCATAGTGTATAATCTTTGTGAGTAGAGACAAATAAAAGCAGACGAGAGCACTTAACAGTCTTACTGTTTGGTAAGTCAATGTTGGGGTAAGAATCAGCTATGTAAAGTAGAAAAGACAACAGGAGAAGATTCAGTCCAGCTGATCTCACTGAGCCCATCGTGGTTGCAGCAGTTACCTAATAAAACAGAAAATGGTCAGTCAGAAATCTGTTGGATCAAAGCGTGAGTAAGTCTGAGATAGAAACAGAGTATTACCATGTTGAGAGAGAGTTGACTCTTCATTGTGCCTCTGTGTAGGACAGCTTTTTATTGAGGACGTCCGTCCCGTCATGTCATTTTATACCCATGTCCCTCAGTCTGTGGCCTCTTCCTGAATTAGGTGGAGCCTACCAACTTTATCAATGATCTCAGCGACTATCTGGCCACTTCGTTACCTTTCCCATAATCCCTTTAAAGGACAGAATGATCAGAATAAATCCCGGAAAGTCAAAACATAGTTCTGCAAACATCATTCTTTCATCCTGACTATGAATGCTACGTTTAATCCCTGGGTTTTTGTTACTTGGTAACTTGAGGTTGTTATTACTTGTCATGTCACAGCAAAGGGAGGGTCATTGGTGTTTTTCTGGGACATTTTGTTTTGTAGCAGAAAGACCAATTGTAGACTGTAAGTGGCCTTGAAGTGTTTTTAGAAATTAGGAAGAGTGTCAAAGTGTGATGCTGAAATTTCACTTTTAAAACAATGTCTTCACTCTAGGTACGGAAGAGCATTCAGGACAAAAAAAAA